AAAATCATGGCAGAAAGACTGGGTAGTTCATGCTAGAGATAATTTCGGAAGGTAAAAATGCTTTTATCCGCAAAAGAAAAATAGTGGAAAATGTCCTATCAGGTCATGAGTTAATGCATTATTTGAAGATAAAATCACGAGGTAGGAAAGGGTACATGGCTCTAAAGGTTGACATGGAAAATGCCTATGATAGAGTCGAATGACCCTTTCTTCTTGTGATTATGGACAAAAGGCAGAGCCGATCTCTTTCGCCGAACTTTTCCACTTGGAACTCTGAACTCTTTTATTTTATTTTTCTTTCTTTTATTTGGTGTGTGTGGACAACAAATACTACTATCGTATTGTTATGTGTAATAACCTCGCCTCGAGCGAGTATGTGTTTGTGTTTGTCTTCTCCTTGAATCTCAAATCTCCTACCCCAGAAAAATTCCAACTGTCACTCACCAAGCCATGCGGTAACATCGTTCTACCCCTATCTTACGCCATTGAGGGGCAATGTCGAACTTAAGAGTGTGTGTATGTGGGGGGGGTGGGGGGGTAGTCTATTGTTATGCTTGTGTGAGTATGATTGAATACTTGGAGCCTTAATGTATGCCCAAATTTGAAAAATTTGAGGGCCCCAAGCAATGTTTGCATGATCAAAGTGGTCGGTTTGTGGGAGAATCTCGTGTTTATTGGCATTGACCTTGAATTGTTGCATATGATCGAGTGTATCCTATGATGATGACTGAGAGGTGCATTAGGATAGTGCAAAGGTTTAGTTCTCATGTGTGCAAAAATGAATGGATGTCTTGACTCAATTACTTGTTGATTACAATTGCCATGAATTGTGTTTTGTGAAGTGGAATAGATGATTGGGTGACTAGGTAGCCATGTGAGCTTTTGAGCTGATCGTTTTCTTCTTGTGTGCTTAGATCCCTCTTACCATGGCAAATAACATCACAGCTTTCACTAGTGAGTATGATGGAGGCATAGGATTAGTCCACGCCCAAATGTTGATTGTCCCGAAATGTTTTATCCCCTAGTCAACCCCTTCGAGCCTTGTGACTTTGGGGGTCATTCTCTTGTAGGAGCTTTTTGCTTGTGAGCTTAATGTTGTTTGATAGAACGACCCCCCATCCTTTCTTCGTGTCTATACGTGAGTCATCCTTGTGTCCCGGAGCTCTCGCTTTTGAGTTCCATTGAGGTTCTACATAGGAGGATTTTGTGCGGTTCTTGCTAGGAATGAAAGAGAAAAGAGTAGTGTTGGAGTAAGTTCTTAAAAGAGAGCATTGGTTGTTAAATGTAATGTGGAAAGTGTTTTACTCTCTAGTACCCCCATCAAAAGAAAAGAGAAAAAAAAAGGAAAAGGAAAGTAGAAAAAAAAAATGAATCGAAAAATGTAATAAAACGGGGTAAATAAAGTAGAGAGTTGCCACCAAAAATCAAAGTGTATGCTCTAGGAGGGGTTTCTTGGCACTCAAGCCATTGGAACACCAAATTGTTGTTGAACTCCTTCACTACCATGTTTGAAATGTGATAGCAAAAATAGACCAAGGAAGTGTGCTTGAATGTAGTTCATGAGGGGTGATAGTTTGTAAGGGAGAGTAAGGTTTTTGGTCGATGCTAGTGGCCATTGTTTGTAGGGAAGGTTCTTAGTCAAAACCATATGAACGTCAGGTTTAGGGTGAAGATGTAGGACCTCATGTTGTGTTTGCCACCACCCAAAAATCATTTTCCTCATGTCCAAGACAATTGCCAGTCATTTGAACTCATGTCTAAGACCTCCGGACAAGCTAGTGATGACAACCGACCAGTGAACTATAGCAGTTAGAGGTTGCCGTCGTGGTGAAGAGACTATAGGACCGAGTGTTGATGATTGTGCACATTTTTTGCACCAAATGGTCTAGGCCCCACTGGTCAAGAGAGTGAGGAATTCATTCTTGTTTTGCATGTCATATCATACCCCGGTGAGGACCTTTGTTGCCCATTCGTTTGTTCCTTGGACTTGAATGTTATGCATGGTTAGTTGTGGTTGATAATTGATTTTGTTGAGACTTGCATTGATTCATGAACAAGGTGAGAACTTTTCGTTTTCCCATTTTTGGCGACCTCGAATGTCGTTTGTGGTCGATGTCGGTATTGCTTGCAACAATCCATGTGTTAATTGCCAAAAGCCATTGAGATTCGCCACTTTCTGCCCTATGAGTTGTCCCCGAAGTATTTTGTTAGGCTGAGATATTACCTTGTGTGAAATGGTTTGCTTACGGACAAGCTAGGGAGGCCAAACCATCCAAAAAACAAAGGTTGGCAAAATATTATCTTCATTTCTCATTTATCTCAACTTCTAGCTTAGCTTTCTTTACTCGATTTTCAAAAAAAATTTGAAATACTCACCATTTTAAACCAAGAAACCAATATAAACACACTAATTTACAAGTTCCAACCATAAACGAGAAGATTTAAAAAAAAAAAATTTAACATCATACACCCACAGTTTCCATTTTCAACAACACCCCCAATAAAAATCCCAGATTTCCAAAACCGGCATATTCATCCCCAAAAATCATATTAGCACGAACTAATCATGAGACCTAAAGATTAAAAACTCACCCAGAGAGAAACCGAACGACTTACTGTGTCCTCCAATCTTTCCTCGCGGTAAAAAACCCCAAGCACAAATAATATCGGTTTACATGATTATTGGCATATTTAGTAAATATTTGTTTCATACACGTATGTATATATATATATATATATATCTGTATGTATTTTATCCGCTCAAAAATTGTCAAGACGTTTCATTTTTTTAAACACATATAATATCCATATTTAATGAACTAAATTGCCAACTTAACTATAATTTTTTTTATATCATTTTCTTTTTAAAATAATTAATTTTATATATTTTACAACTATTAACGTATCATTACTTTTGAGATGAAATAAAATACTCATAAATATATTATATATAACTTACTCCTACTGTATTTTACTAACTATGGTGATTGGTTAGCCCCTCCCATTGGTTTGAGTTGGTCACAATTACTATTGTTATTGGAATAAGTTCTATTTTGAAATTTATAATATTTACTAACACATCTGGTTAAACGAGAACTAACTCATATGAGGTTGAAGTTTGTATAAAACCTCTTGGTTGTCAAAGCCTCTAATGTCATATCAAAACCTAATTTGTCACAAGAACTCGGTTATTATGATAAAGTTAATTATAACACTTTCTTACACGCCACCTAAAATGAAATCCCAACTTATGAGCATGGAGTTTGCACAGATCCACTACACATTGTACTTAAAACAACTGTTAATCTTGGAGGTTGTAAAAATTGGCACACGATCCATTGACCAAACAATTATGATGCTATATCATAAACTAGTCATAACAGAGCATAATAATTTATACATTTACTAACATTTCTTGTGCTCATTGTCAATTGTCACTGTCCTAGAGCTTAGATATTTCTCCTCTCAAATTTGAGTCTTTGCATCTAGCTACTTCCATGACACAAACTGCAACTGCCACTCTTCTTTCTCATAAATGCAGCAACAACAGTTGGAAGTTCCTTGAAATAAAATATCTGAATTCTCAGTCATTTTTGCTTCTTGTTTACTGAAAGCAAGTTACATATTGTTTCATGGTAAGTTCTAGGATTTGCTCGTTTCTTAATTATAAGATCGTGCACAGAGTACAGGAAACTAAGAGTGATTTGTTACTTTGTAGGTACGATCTTAGGTGCCCAAAGGCTAAAGTAACCTAATAGAAGAATTAGAGAGTAGAGATTTGGAGAGGAAGAGAGATAATATGACAATACTTTGATTGATTTTTCATTCCTAACTTTGAGGATAGAATGAAATCACATTATACAGACCGTGGCCTGAAATTTTAATCGATTAATCGTAATAAACACTAAATTACTACTTGAGTCACTAATCGTCTCATCGATTAATCGTAATATTATTATTTCTTTTTATTGTTTGGGTTTGACAGTCGTGAACCTATATTTGGCATCAAATGCAAGAGTTCATATAGCCCGGAACAACCCTAATTGCTTCAAGAACACGGAACAGATCTCAGCCTCCTTGCTTTTTTTTTTTTTTTTGACAAAAGATAATCATATTGATCGATAAAAGATAAGAGAACGTTACATCCTGGAATTAAGCCAGGCCTGGAAATCAAATAAACGACTAGCAGCCGGATACAAAGTGAGGGCCTTTCGAGCCACAAATGGGCTACCCTATTGTTATTCCGACCTACAAATCTAATCGAAAACCCCGGATAAGCAACGAAATACTGAATGACTTCTTCTAGCACAGCACCCATCCGGTTATCCCTGGAATCCGCGTGGTTGATTTTGTCAATGACAAGTTTCGCGTCCCCTTCAAAGCCTACTTCCGTAATTCCACGTCCTATGCATCCCAGAATCGCCTCTCTCAGGGCCAGCAACTCCACCACCGCAGGGTCCTGCACTCCCGGGAATTGGGTTCCTTGAACAAAGACAACTCCCCTAGCCGAGTTCAAAATTACAAACCCACCAGCCGAAAGCATCCCCCGACTAGTAGCCCCATCCCACTGGCACACAACTGAGCCAGTCGGAACAGCACTAGGAACCCGGGGACCGGGACCCGCGCAACGGGGAGTTGCCTCCGGAGTCAGCCTCCTTGCGTCTACATCCACCATGGTAAAAAATTTCACGAAGAAGTATAAAAAAGAGGGATAAGTAGGTTGGTTAAGAAGAGGAGGGAAAAAGGCCCACTACGCCATCAATTGGGAGATTTTTTAAAATAAGAAAAGGGAAAATCATATCTGCGGCGTGAACTTTTTGATGAGTAAAAAAAGGAAATCCCAAAAGGAATTTTTCCAGATCCCCCAACCATAAGGAAAACAGAGCAGGCAGTAGAAGAGAAAAAATCCATGAAAAAGAGCGGAAATAAAGACACTTTAGGTCTTTGCCATCCTTGTTGCTCATTTTGTCAGCAATTTCTAGCTCTGGGCTTCTGTCAAAATGGCGGACAATGAAGGCCGCCGAGGAGGTTTTTCAGCAGCACCTCCGACGGCTCAATCTTCGTCTTCCTCTGCTTCCCGTCCAGAAACCATCTCACTTTCTCCTTGCTCCTTCGGCGACATGATGTTCATCGGCGGAGGAACCAATTCGGCAGGCGCCTTTGGGTTTGGGTTCAGCCCCGGCCCGATGACTCTGATTTCCAGCCTATTCGCCGACAGTGAAGACTCCAAGTCCTTCTCCCAGCGACTCACTGGCGTCATGTCCCCTGCGGTGGTGGGTTCTGTCCCTTCTAGCAAGCCTCGTGAGGAGAAAGGGTCGAGTGGTGGTGGAGGAGTTAGTAGGCCGGGGAATTTGACGATTTCGCCGCTTCTGCCAGCATCGATGTTCATGATATCGTCAAGGATGAGTTCGATGACTCTGCTCGATTCGCCCGGGCTGGGACTTTTTTCTCTTTATGTAACTTAAAATTGGCGGCGAACTAACTTTTCCTTCCGAATTTTTGGGTTAGTCTTAAATTTTTTGGCTTTTATTATCATGATTATTCGTTCAGAAACCATAAAAGTTTTGGTATTTCTCTGATTAATGATTTTCTCTATCTTTGGCTGCTCTAGATAGTATGTGTTTGGAGACATTGTTGCTGAATTTCAATTAGGCTTGGGGGAATTCGAGAGTTAGGGTTATGTTTTTGGGCATTGTCGAAGTAGTACCACCCAAAACCCATCATCTTGATCTTGAAACCTTCTTCTTAGTAAGACAGCTTCTTGAAGGCAATTCTGGCGGCCATTGCGATCTAGTTAAAGCATCGATACAAACACCACTAGGGTTGACATTATGCATAATTTTCTCTCGTAACCAAGGATTGAAATACCGTAATATTTTGGCGGTTCGACCAGAAAATACCGTACTGGCGGTATTTAGTGGTATTAAGCGGTTAAATCACGGTTTTAGCATTAAATACCCTATCGTTGACTTTCCGGTACAACCTTCGGTACGGTATTTCAATCCTTCCTCGTAACTAATTTTATGATTATGAACTCATTAAGGAAAGCTTTCTTTTTGTGGGAGTATTCTATCTCTTAATCTCAGTGTCTTGTAAAGGATACCCTAAACTAAACCAAATGCAGTCACTGTGAAGTATTTCTCTAATTATTGTGACTGAAATTTGTAACAGGGACCCTATGGAATCACACACCAGCAGGCCTTAGCTCAGGTCACTGCACAAGCAGTCCAAGGCTCATCTTTTTTCACAAATGCCATCTGCAACTATTGATTCAGTGCTTCACCAACCGATCATACCATCAACCACAAACCCCGAAACAACAAAGATGGAACCTTCACCTGCATCTTAACCCAATCAAAGATTTCAAGCTTCATCATTGGTCGTCGATAAGCTTGCAAATGATGGGTATAATTGGCGAAAATATGGGCAGAAACAGTTGAAAGGCAGTGACTGAAATCATATACAAGGGGCAGCATAATCATGTGCCTCCACAGTCCAGTAAACGGGGAAAGAACAGTGGAAACCCTAATGGACTTCATTAGGGGAATATTGAGTTTGCTTCACAATTTCAGAGTGGAAATCCGAACAAGTCGAAAGAGCGAAGAGATCTGGAATCTAACCAAACTGCAGGAGACCATTTATCCGCGACAAGCGATAGCGAGGTAGGTGGCACTGAAGCTGCTGCGGATGAGAACGACAAAGCTAAGATGGATGCCAAAAGAAGGTCAACTAACATGATTAATATCATTGGAATCACATTGGATTGGTCTATACATGAATAGTTGACAAACTTTCTGTGATGTTTACAGAAATATCGAGGTCATGGTAAAAGAGCCAACTTCATCACATAGAACTGTCACAGAGCCAAGAATCATTGTGCAGACTACCAGTGAAGTTGATCTCTTGGACGATGGCTACAAGTGGCGAAAGTATGGACAGAATGTTGTTAAAGGAAATCCATACCCAAGGTGATTTCCTAACCCTTTAGAAATATCAATTCAATAGCCATGGCAACTAAAAGCCGTCATCCCTGCCTGAGAAGGGGAAACCTGCAAATGTTATTGTATATTGGATGAGTACTTGTAATGCAGCATTAACCATAGTTGCCTGCTTTTTGCTATTGAACATTTTTTGAAAACTCTGTAGGAGCTACTACAAATGCACAACCCAAGGATGCAATGTCCGAAAACACGCGGAGAGGGTTGCGTCAGACCCAAAATTCATCATTACAACGTATGAGGGCAAACACAATCATGACATCCCAACCGCCAAAAACAGCAGCCACATCATTGCCAATAGCCTGAACAGGCTTGCTAGCAATTCTCAGCAAAATATAGCACAGTTGCGTTTGAAAGAAGAACAGATAACATAGTTGTAGGTCCTTGAATATCATGGAAAATGGCATCAGTTGAATTGAACTACAGAAACATATATACCCACCTTTCTCAGTGAACAAACCTGTAAAGTGAACTTATTCCATCTCAGATATAAAACAAATTGTTTGGTTTGTCTCCCTTTGTGGTAACTGTTTTCATGAAGGCAACCATATCATCACACGATATAGAACGTCTGGTTGCAAAAACAAGTGTTGTATTATGTTGGAATCGTATAGTTTGGGGTATATATACTCTTACTGAACAATACTGTTAGTTTGCATTTCTTTTATAGCATGGTGATGATCATATGAGCATAAAGTAGGTTCTTTGACATCTTTGGTGGGTTTTCTACAATTTCTTGTGGTTCAAGTATCTCTGTTGTCGGTTGTTGCTTCTTACGCAAGTTATAATCGTCCAGACACTGAGAGCTCAATTCATATTCAGCTCACAACTGGGTAAGTTCGTTTTCACCTATGTTGCGAGATTCAGATTCATGAATGTTATGGAATACGACATCAGTTGAATTGAACAACAGAAACATATAAACCCACCTTCCTCAGTTAAAAACACTTCCATCTCAGATTAAAAAAGGAAACGTTTGTTTGCTCTCCTTTGTGGTCACTGTTTTCATGAACGCTACCATATCATCAGAAGATATAGAAAGACTGGCTGCAAAAACCAGTGTGTATTATGATGGAATGGTATAGTTAGGGAGATATATTCTTACTGAAAAATATGGTTTGCATTTACTTTATAACATAGTGATGAACAAACATATGGACGTAAAAGTAGGTTCTTTAACATCTTTGGTGGTGTTCCGAAAGTTTCGTGTAGTTCAAGTATCTCTGTTGCTTGTTGTTGTTTTTATGGCCAAAAGCTCACTTGCATTACCAAGAAATATAGATACTACTATTTACAAACCGAACATAAACCACGACCAAAAATCTAAACCAACCACATCAATAGGAAACAAAGAAAGAGCCATTTTGGCGACAACATGAGCCGGTCGATTGTTTTCCCTGCAACGAAAAACCAACAGAAAACTTTGTAAACAATTGTCGTAACCAAGCAATATCTTCAAGGATCGCCCCGCCCCGCCCATCCCGAACTTCCTAATCTCTTATTTTGAAGATGACAGTTTGTGCATCTCCCAAGAAAATGGCCTACGTTAGACCCTTCATAAAGCACCACCTAATCGCATCCCAGAACGCCATTAATTCATCCAAATAAGAATCAGTCAAACCTACATAAACGAAATCTTGTACAAAAGAACTTATCGCGCTTGTGTATTACCATCCTACCCGAGGAATGAGAACCCGAGCTGACCGCCCCATCAACAAAGTAAAGAAATGGCATTGTTGGCGTAACCTCCACCGGTCGCCCTTCACCATTGGGTAGCCGCGCCATGTCCCGATCCATCAAAATCAACCACTCCCTAACTGATTATGATACTGAAGAACTAGGAACTCTGTAGTATACTGAAAATGATCAAACACCACCCAATTCCAAGACTTCCATATCCTCCATAACAGAGCTACAACTCGTATGATTCTTTCTGGATAAGCATTCCTCTCCACCATCCGTCGAAACACCAAAGTCATATTCAACCCCTCCAGACCCTGTCTTTCATTGAACAAGCCGCATCACCCACAACTCCACTGCCACTCTGCACGTGAGAAAAAGTTGGTCAACAGATTCTAAAGAATCACACCACACAAGGCACTCAATCGGATCGGCCCCACATTTTCTCTCAACGCCTCCAATGTAGGAAGGATCCGATGCATTAACTGCCAGAGGAAGATTTTATGTTTGGGCGCGATGGAAAAGCTCCACATCTTCTTCCAAAAGGTCGTATCCCAAAAAGAGACTTCCGTTTTCCACTTTCCCAACCCCCGCTTCAGCTGTATTGCGGAATGGTAACTAGACTTCACCGACTAATCCTCATCTATTTCCTTTGTCCATATTAATTTATCCGAATTCGCTAGCCTAGGCAATGGAATGTTCAAGATCTTCTGCTTAACCTCAAGAGGGAAGCAGTAATCTAAACCAGACCCCTTCACCAGGTCTAATCAAATCACTAAAACATTATGTTTCCGTCAAAGGAGCACTTGCCAAGACCAATAAAGGATCACCGCCCAATCCTGGCACCCATGAGTCCCCCAATACCCGAACACCGTCACACGTGCCCACTTGCCAGCCTAAGTCTCTTTTCAATAGATCATGTACAGAAAGTATACTGCGCCATCCCCACGATGGCCAGGAACCAAGCCTCGTAGACAATATGCTTCCGCAAAAAAAATACTTCTTCATCAATACCTTTGCTAGTACGGAATATGGCTCATGCAAGATGCTCCAAGCCACCTTAGCCTACAAAGCTTGATTGAAATCTTCGAAACGGAAAAAACCGAAACTGCCATCCAAAATTACTACGACACATTTCTCCAAGACACCCAATGTGCCTTGTTTCCTTCGGCAGTAACACCCCACCAAAACCTAGCCATATATTTATCCAATTTCCTATAGAGAGTGTCTGGCATCAGGAAATATTACATCACATGTATTGGCAACACTGCAGCTACATATTTTTATAGATCTCTTTTGCCGCCCATGACAAACGACGTTGTTTCCATCCCATGAGTTCCAATAGGAGCTTATCCTCTAGATACCGAAATTTCTTTGTCTTTGATCGATGAATCAATGTTGGCAATCTCATATATTTATCTTAAACGCCAACAACACCCACCCCCAAAATAGACGCCATCTGTTGAGCATCGTTGGTCCACATTTCTGCTAAAACAAACAACAGATTTCTGCAAATTTACTTTTTGACCGCTTAATTCCTGATATTCTTGTAGAACTCCCAACAACATATGCCATTCCGGCATTGAGGCTTTGAGTAACAAGTAACAATCATCCGCGAAAAAATAAGTGGGAGACACTCGGACTCCGTGGATTTACTTTAACCCCAATTAACTTCTTTCCAACACTGCCTGTTTTAATAATGCCCAAAAGCCTTCCGTGCATATCGCAAGCAACAATGGCGATGATGGATCACCTTGCCTCAACCCACGTGAGGATTTGAAATACCCACTTGGGTTCCCATTCATCGTCACAGAAAAAGTCGCCGAAGACAGACATTCCTTAAACCAATAGAGCCATTGGGGATGAAACCTCATTTTCCTCATAACAGCAAGTAAGCAGGGTCATTCCACTCTATCATAGGCCTTTTCCATGTCAACCTTCAAAGCCAAATAACCCTTCTTCCCCAGATTCTTGATTTTAAGGTAATGCATAATCTCGTGCCCAATAAGAATGTTGTCAACTATTTGCCTATCCCAGATAAATCCATTCTGCTCCGGTGAGATCAATTGGGGCAGATGCTTTGCTATTCTTTCTCCTAATATCTTAGAAATAATCTTATAAAACAGTTGACACAAACTGATCGGTCAGATTTGTTTCATTGACTCAACTACATCCACTTTTGGAAGCAATGTCAGCCAGGTATGATTAAAACTTTTCAAGAATCTCCCAGTGCTAAAAAAATATTGAACAGTTTCAACTACTGAGTCACAAATGACATCCTAGTATACTCTATAAAATTTCCCTGTAAACCCGTCAGACCCATGAGCCTGTGTAGTACCAATAGAAAAGACCACTCATTTAATCTCCTCTAGTGAGACTACGACAATTAACTCGGCATTCATCTCTACAGTTACTACCGATTCCACTGGCAAAGCCTCATTCCTTGCATCCAAGTCTAATATCCCATTTTCTGTTTGAAACAAGGCTTCATAAAACTCACTGGCCACACAAGCTTTTTCTGTCTCGCCCGTCACCCAGTTTCCTGCCAGTAATTTATGATCGTCCAGACACAGAGTTCAATTCATATTCAGTTTACAAAAGGGTAAGTCTTGTTCACCTTATAGTTCATTGGCCATGAATACGAAGCAAAATAGTAGATAAACAATGATTGATGAAAATCATGACAATTTTTTAAGCTTTTCTTCTACTTAGTACAGACAGTAAAATCTCGTCTATGAGAGTGTTAATGAAACATGATTGGTTTTGATTTATGAGAGTATTAGAATCACACCTTTCCTAGAGCATTATACAAGGACGTGATGTAGGGGTAACCCATTACCTTCTGGGCGGAATTGCCACAACATGGGCATTCTTCTCAGCAAGAATTATTGCAGTAGGATACTGGCTAGGAGGATTTGAAAGACATTATGACATTAAGATTTCCAAGTTTTATCCAAGGCTTAGCTCAGGACCCCATTACTCACCGTATTTGGTTTGGCAGAACAACTGATAACGTCGTATTTGCACATGTTTGCACCCTCGTTTCTTGATAATTTTGGCTTGAGTTTTTGCTTTCTTGGACTATTTTACGCTAGGTTGTGTTCCTTTGTCACATTTCAGGTCCTAGCATCTAAATTGAAGCATAGGCGCAAGTTTCAAGTCAATCGAAGATCATTTGGCAATTCGGGAGAAGAAACACAAGCATGACCTGAGGAATAATGGATTTTTACCTCATATTATGGACAAATTATTATGGAAGTTTGTTATGAAAATAAAGAGGACGAGACTACGAGCGTCTAGGTTCAAATGGCGACTGATTCGGAGTCCGGACGAGGGAGAAACGAAGCATTAAACAGGAGCGGAGGAAGAATTACGGGAAGGAGAATTACGACCGTATTTGCCCCTCCCATGCCCGTATTTTCACTGCCGATAGGAGCTTTGGGTGCCCTGAAACTTAACCAAAACGCGTGTTTTGGGCAAAATACGGGCATGGAAGAATTACGACCGTAATTCAGCCCGTAATTCGCCCAGAATCGGGTTTTTGAGGCAGATTCGAGCCAAAGGAGAGGGGTCGACTTTTTGGAGCAAAAACAGAGTCTTAGAGAGAGAAAGTACGAAAAACAAACCCTAGGAGCTATTTGGAGTGGATTTCTCATCATTGAAGCCCAGATTGCATCCCCAGGAGTGAAAATCA